TTTTATAGATATTCTTTGCCTCGAGTATTCCCGTAGACATTCCCGACAAATCTGTATCGATGTCGTTTTATTTTGAGGCAAATTACGGATTGCCAAGTGAATGGAATTCCACTTACTACTATTACGACGGAAGTTATTTCGAAAAACGAAGTCTCAGTCGTCAACTGATATACAGCTTGTTCACAAACAAACTGGAAAGGTAACAAAACTGTGATTAAAACCACACACACGCAGATATATTCTCTACCAACACGTATGTATTTCGAAACCTCACTTCTAATTACACGTGTGATTGTTAAACTCAAAATATACGCTCGTAAATAATGACATTTGTGTGTTTTACAACAGTCTGGGCTATCCTGGACAAGATTGTTTGTTGAAAGTAATTTGTCAAGCTGCAAAATATGCTTTAAGCGAAAACGGTGTGCTTGATAATATTCTCAAAATCATATTATTCACGTATAAGTATTGTAATAAAAAGTATATTTGAAAGTTTTGATGTAAAGAGAAATAAAGAGAGATGTCGATATAAATTACAATCAACGAACAAATAATGTAAAACAATTAAATTTGCATTGCAGACCTTTCACGTCGAGAAGCGAGGAGCTTCCGAATGAGATCACGCAAGCTGAGCACGAGCAACTTTGCGATCAACGTTACGAAAACTGTTCTCTGAATCCTTTAGATTTAATAAGTCATTACGTCGATTATTAATTAAAAATCTACACAAAATTCGACACAATATTCAATAAGTATTGAAAATAAAAGACACAATATTCGATAAGTATTGAAAATAAAAGACTTGCATAATATTTCGTCCGTTACTTAAATTTTTTTATTTATTTCTTTATTTATTTATTTATTTATTACCTGCCTTTCTCTTTTTATTTTATTTTAAACGCTAATAAATAATCAAGCGAACAAGAGCACAAGATTTACGCGCAATAGTCTTGGTCGTTGGAAACTATGTAAACGCTGAAAACGAGCTGAAAACGAGCTGAAATCGAGCGAAGGTACCAGGGAAGTATGTCTTGCGAGTAGGTATACGCGCCAGCTCCTGGGCGTGTATATAGCGCGCTTGACCCCACCCCACGCGCGGCAGCCATTACGGATCACGCGCGTCGGCCATTATGGAGCGCTCGCGCCTCAGCCAATCACCGCGCGACTCACGGCGCGTAGGAAGCGATGGGGGGACGCGTAGCCTCGCCCACAGATACCTCTCGCATTACCTCTTCGCACAACATGTGTTCCTAATACTTTCAGCGATTTTTCGAGGCTTTCAGAGAACGCGCAACTCACCTTACTCGCTCAATTCTCTTGCTATTTCTCTCTCTCTTGCTTAATTCTCTTACATTNTTTCAATAATTTGTCAATCTTTAAATAATAAGTTGTAAATATATTATAAATATACGTATGTATATAAAACATACTATTTATTATTAAGGATTAATAGATGTATGTACATACAACGTACATGTAAAAATAAACAGTTATGATAATAATGTAAGTAATCAATTTTGATGCATATAAATTTATAAATTATATATGCATAGTTATATATGCGATATAACTTATAAATTATATATGCGTAATTATATGTATATGCGATATGACTTATATAAATTATACATGCGTTACAATAAAATGTATAAGTAATTATCATAGTTTGTATATTGAGAAACAATAGAAAAAGGAACAATAAATTAGATTGAGTTTGCAATGTGTTTTCCAGCACCAAGGGTTTTATTATTCTGTTATTAGTACATAATATTGAAAATGTTTCCATTATTTTAATTTGTTTGAGAGTCCCGGGCATACATACTGTATGAATTTATAACAGAAGTTTATATACAAATACATAAACTTTATATATCTTTTTGATAATTATATATTACATATATATTTATTTTATTTTTATTAAATATCCTTGTGTCTATAAAATGTTACCATTAATGATTAAACTTTTGCAAGTATAACTTCAAATATAACACAAATGACACACAACTTAATATATAAAAACCAAAACAAATACCTTTTACAAATTATTCTAATTATAAACTTAAAGCAAATTATAGATAGAAAAGCTATACATTTTATCACCTGCAAAATATATAACACAAAGAAAATTACGTATTTGCGTTACTACCGAGAATTTTTTCTTGGCTGTCGATACACTTTAAACATGTGCANTTAAAAAATATGTGCACGTAACAATTCAGCCTTTAATTATTTCAATTCGATAAAATCTTACGTATATAACATATACATTGCAACGTTAGTAACCATTCTCACAATCAGTCTCTTTTTTTAACTCTATTAGTCACTCAGTCTCCGTAAACATTTTGTGCTAAAATAAAATGGTAAATGTTTAGAGAAAGTGACCATTTAAACTCGTGCACATAGCACAGAATAGAACCGCGCGCTGTGGACATAGCGCACCGACATGTCGCTCGTGGACTGGCTGCGTAGTTCCAATGTGTACCACCCGTGGACATTCGTTAGTTTACGGGGCGGAAAAGTGATTACACATTCTCTTATGGACCTGGCCGCTCTCAGGCTTCTTCTCTGATACAAGAATTTACATATAGATGTGGAAAAACTATATTTTTTAATCTACAATAAAAGAATAATTTATTTATTGAGAATTTTCAAGCAGTGAAAGAAATAAAATTTGTGAAGTTCTTAAATGTATTTAAATGTATTTTATTGATATTATAGGATATATATGTATTTCAACAACATAATTCTTATAATACATTTATGATTCAGAGTATTGTTTTGAGATATATAAGTTTTGTATCTTTTTCATCTCTGTAGCTTATTATTAGAATAAATTTATTTTTATTTAAATAAATTACTTAACTTTCCTAGAGATAAAAAATGTAGTATAAGTATGAATATATGTTTCACACGTTTACCTATGGAACTTCAGTATACTTTTCACTTTCTCTATTTTTCTATTCTCACTCATCGAGGCAGTGAAGAAATCATTTTATTCATAAATAAAATCTTGGATAAACCTAGCGTAATATTGATTTATTCTAAATTTATCGAAGACAATGTTAATGTACAAAACAATATATTAAAAAATTTAGGTGACAAAATTGTGTAAAAATCTTGTAATTTAGTTTAAAAATACGATGCACGTTGACATACTTCAAAAATGTAAATCTTTATATACGAGTTGCGTATATAAAAAGATTTACTTTTTAACATTTTTATCTACAATTTATACAAAAGAAAATCGTAAAAACATCCATTAATATAATTAGCAGCTTTTAATAGTAAATGTTTTACGTTTTACTTGTGTTAAAATATTTAAAATCTATCTTGTTTCTGTGCATATATGTAGAAGTGTATCTGAGATATTTAAGTCTGCATGATATGATTTAAATCGGCAGCACAATGGAAGCTTCATGTTTATATTATAAACAGCAATCACATATTTTCATATATTCTGAATTTTTCGACGTATTCATGACGTATCCAGACAGATGAAGATCAAATATTTGACCAATTTTTTTAGAATTTCTCGAATTCGTTGACCATTTATTTCGCTTTGGCTGAAGAACGGTTTCTCAGATTCTTTTTCGTTGCTTGATCTACCTCCGGAAGATCGTCATCTTCGGGCAAGGCGGATTTTTTACCTGAACATGACATAAAATAATAATAGACACTGCAATGCATTAAATGTTCAAAACAAATATAATGTATATGTGTGTGAGTGTGTATATATTAATCATTATATAATAGTAATGCTGATATATATATATATTGAAATTAACAACAAAACACTTGATTTTACCTTCTCGTTTTTTTGTTTTTTGCTTTGGTTTTGTCTTTACGACGACAACCGCGGCGTTTTCGCGCGCGAGCTTAACTTGCTTCTTAATGAAGAGATACAGTAGGTAGCCTTGGAAGAATAAGATTATAGATACTCCCAAGAACTGCACAGCAGGAATATTATAATTGCCAGTGTTATAGTCGAAGTTAAACTCTTGCTTCCTCAGACCATATAAGAATACTACAGCCGACAGTGCGATGGTGGCAATGCGGGCGAATGCGTATACCGAATTGGCAACTAGAAACGCCACTGAACACATATATCATATTATTAACATGTATTAATTTAAATATGCTGTATTAATAACAGGTTGAAGATGACGTACATTTTGTTCTGTTTTCTTTTTGACCAACAAAGTGAATTAGCCTGGCTCCATGTTGCAAAGCATCTGCTACGTAATGGAGAGTCAACAAGATTACGGCAAGTTGTTGGAAGCTATAAAAAAATAAATAATTGTTACACACTGTAGAAAAAAAAAACAAAAAGAAAACATCAGCGCGTTATGTTATTACTTGAAGAAATAAGCTAGAGATACGAAGAACAATCCGACGGTTGTGCCGAAGATGCGACGTGGAATATCTTCTTTTTTCACTCGTTGAAAATAGAGTTCAGGGTAGCAGTGTAACCAGTAAGCAAATTGACTGATAAAAAACAGCTTCAAGGAGAAAGACATCGGCGCCGGATATTCTTCCCACAATACCCATATATTAAATAGCATATTCTCTCTAAAAGAAAAATTTTATACATATTTTTTCATGTCGAGTTTTTTTTAATACGAAGATCTAGTGACACACAAATATATCTCTATTTTTAAATCCCGTATTACCTGACAATAATGTCAATTGCCCACAATGCGGACAAAACATAAAACACTGCCAATTGACTGGATTCATTGAACTTTGCAAGTTTTACTTTACTTAAGTGAAGTCGTTTAGAAATTTTCTGTAAAGAAAAAAATAATAGTTTTATCAAGCAAAAGAAAGTTATATATGAATATGTAATTTTGTGTGTATTACTTACATCAAATATATATTCCTGAAATACAGCATGTAGTATAATTGTTATTAAGAAATAAAAGAATACTGCACATGTGTCCTTCCATCCTATAGTGTACTTTATTAATGCTGTTGGATCTTCTGTAGTATTAGTCACATTATGGTGAAGAGCAATAAACATGTATGCCCATGGTGATGTGACCTGAAAACAATTATATATCAGAATTCTTTATAAATTACTATAAATACAAACTAAGAAAGTATATTAATATGTCTGTATTAACATTACAAATTTTACCACAACATACAAACGCACATATTTGTTATATCACAACAATTAATACAATAAATATTTAAATTCTAAGTTACATTAATATATATGTTTTATATGTATACTAAATAAAAATATAAAAAAAGTTTTAATTTATTTTACTATTTGACTTTACAATATTGACAACTAGTAACATATGGTCTTTTATTTTTCAAGTTTACACGAACTTTGATGCAACAGAAACCACAAAATTACTACCAGATGTTAAATATAAATGATTTTGCACAATCTTTCTGAATTTTGTCAAGAAAGTAAATTCGTATCCATCTCTCCCAGATGGGAGATAAAAAAGAAGAAAGAGTTTGTTGTTAAACCAACCTGCACCATCAAACCGATCACAAAGATTATCGCCAGACAGGAGACGATGTCCGCATGATTTTGTATGACAAACTCGTGGCTTAATATTGGCGGGTTTTTGTTTGAGCTTTTGCGTCCCTTTACCGCGACCATCCTGGTCCAGGCGAGCGTCTTCACGGCACCGCGAGCGCGACACGACAGACAACAGGATCACAGAGTACCGGGCGCTCTACCGTAAAAACCGAGCCACCTGCACCACGAGCCACGTCGCTCCGGCCACAAAAACGTCATCACGCACGCGGCGGCCAACACCGAACTAACATGGCGCCGTCACTGTGGCGCCGTGCACTCAGTGACATTCGGCTGGATATAGAAACAATTCAAACAATTTTGATCAATTATTATATAAGAGAAATAGAATCAAATAAATAAAGCGTGACTTGAACACAATTTAAGCTACTTAATCAATATTTGTAAGTAATATTAATATGTTACTTATATGACATCAATATCTAAACTAAATTAATACTAATAATATTATATTATAATTATAGGTTTTTTACAAGTGAGATGTCATCTCAAAGCTATGGTGTCTTATATCCATCGATTTTTCGTGAACAAAATAGAATAGAATTATAATACTCAGGGCATTTTGCAAGAACCCTTTATATAACGCTCTTTTTTATCTGCACTAGCTACTTCACTAGGTTGTTTTAATGCAATATAGAAAATAGGTACTACAATCGCCCTTATTGTTCTTTTACAATTTTTCCCTGGTTTTATTTCTTAATGTACTCCGATTAATTAATCGATTGATTGACTAATCAATCAATCAATCAGCCAATTGATCCGATATATTTCAGTAAGATAATTAGTGAAATACTTAATTTGATATCAAATTGTCGCCAAGTCTTTAAGAACCACTTTTGCCGTCTTCGATTAAAATTAATTGGACCAATCCGCGATTGGGATTGATTAGTCAAATCGATCGATTACGATTGACGCTAATTCAACCAGTCAGAAGCAAAAATGTGACAAAAATTACTCTTGAGAGTTTCTGTTAAAAAATTATCTTCCGTTCTTTTGTACACTCCTGTTTCATCACCATTTGCCGCACGTGCGCAGTAACAGCTGTTTAATGTCAATATAGGATAGTGGAATCAGCGGCGGTTTGGTCAGTCAAAGTAGCGAAGTGGTAGAGCGCGCGAGTTTACTCGCGTTGTACTTTATTACAGCGTTTTTCGCCACTTCGCGTGTTTCTCACAAAAAGATTCGACATTTCGCTGCCGACAAACCAGGAAGGTGACATTTCTCTTAGGTGTCAGGATCGCAATTTAGCCAGATCGCAAAACTTTAACCAGAACGAAGAGACTTTTAGAGGGTTGAAACATGGCGGATAAAATATACTACCCCAATTCGGATCTCGCCAAGAAAGCGCACTGCGGTAGTCTGGAACAGTACAAGCTTATGCACGAAAGGTGAGCGAAAATCGGCAACTTCAACTACCCCACGTACATAGAATAAAATACTTTGACATGTCATTTTTTAATTAGACGTTAAAATTATTCTTGCGGCTCAAAGCTTTTGCGTCACTTGTTGTGATGCAAAATTCGTGCGGAAACGATACGATATAATTATAATTGCAAACAGACTCCATAATAGTGACAATCGTCTCGCAAAACATATTAAACAGTAAGAATGACAAGCAAAACAATGACTGACGCGCAAAGGAAAAAAAGGGGTAAAACGATCAAAGTTTAAAAGAGATTGCCAAAATCTCTTTTTTTTTTTTTGTGCATACATATATAAAACAGCTGAATTGCAATAAATTAAACGACATCTCAGTCATAGTGAGATTTTATTTCATCTTCATACGCATTTGTACAATAGAAGCGCGATATCGATCGACGGGGGTGGGGCAGATTTCCTAGTTTTTTTTAAACGTTCTTCTCGATGAACTGGCGCAAAGATATTACCGCCATGACGAGCCTTTCTCACGCATTTGAGATTTATATTATTAGTGCTAACGTAATTATTGTTTTAGCAATTAGTTTTTTTGTGACAATTTTCGTGAAAAAAAGTTGTCTTTTCATATGAGAGATCTTTTTGCTTTTAACAAAAAGTTACTTCAAAAAGCCACACACAAAGCGTATTTATTTTACTGTAATAAATTCAACTGAACTACGAACCGAATAATGCGGAAGCGGTGAGAATACGTCAATACTTTGTGTGCATAAATTTGTAAACAAAGCAGAAAGAAATTGATTACGCGAGAGAAACTTAAAATGAATTAATTTCGTAAGCACGACTCCATTAATCTTTTTATTGTAATACCAACAATAACTTAGCAATTACTATATGCAAAAAAACTAATATAACGTTACAATACTACGTATATATTATACGACATATATAACGCGTAAAGTTTTTTTCAGATCTTTTGAACTTACATATTGTGATAAAATTGTTCAATTATTAAATATTAATATAATATTGTGTGATAAAAAAGATTTTAAGAGAAACATAACTCTAAGTCGATAAGTTGGTAACGTGGAGATTACCGTGATTTTGTTTTTCTTTTATTTAGATCCATAAAGGAACCGGTGCAATTCTGGGGAGAAATAGCCAAGCAATTTTATTGGGAAACGCCGGCAATCGAGGACAAGTTCTTCTCGTACAATTTCGATCTGAGCAAAGGCGATATTTTCATCAAATGGATGGAGGGAGCGTCGACGAATATAAGCTTTAATTTGCTCGATAAAAACGTCAAGAGCGGAAACGGGGACAAAATAGCGTTTTATTGGTAAGACAAGTCAACAAGTTAGTAAAGATCATGGTTACTTTTTTTCAGATCTGAAAAATACGTATTTGTCCGACAACCAGTCTGTGATTGAGAGTATTCTATTGTTACCCCAATACTATACAATGACAACCGAGTCTTTAATAATGAATGAAGTTTTTTTTTTAAGACTAAATTATAACACAGTGCACAGAAAACACGTGAAAAGGACAATCGTGAGATATGTAATTTCGCGATATCACGCTTCATACATATTTGATATACGGCCTCGTCCTCTATGCGCTAAAGTTTACCGATCACCATCGATTACCATCAATTGTATAAACAGCGCGGTCAGAGTATCGTAGACCATGTATCAGAGTACAATATCGGAATTCAAATATTTTCGGAGTGTGTTCGTATTTAATTGGAAAATTGCAACATTGAGTTTCTCGCGCACGTGATATCGTAATGATTCGATATTGCATGATCGTGCACTATCTAACATCGGACGATGTCCGTGCTCATCAATCGACGAAAAATTCGACTTATGCGCGAACTACACCACCTGCGATTCCATTGGCCGTCGAGATATCGCGCGCGGTCGCGTCATTCGTTGCGTCAGCTTCGCGCGCCCAGGAACACGCGAAATTAAAATATTACGCTATCATGATTCAGTCGTGCGAGAGTCGAAGAGTATAAAAATTCGGTTGGAGTTGAAATTTATCTCACGGACGGATAGAGATATGTGAATTTCTTTTTTTTCGCGTGATCGATACGTGACCGATACGTGATGATTATAGATTATATAGTTGAATAAGATAAAACAATGAAAATTTGTTTATTATTAATTAACAAATAAAAATCCAGAAGATAGATAGACCGAACTGTCTAAATATAGCTAGAACTAATTAGTAACTTTGAATACGCATCGCGTTTTATTTTATGTAACTTTGTCTAATATAATCTTCGCTTTTGTTTGTTCCCTTTCTAAGCTTAGGGTTGAATGACATGTACATCTCATTAATACTTCTTATTATCATGTCTCTTACGAACTACGATGTATTTTATCTCAGTTTTACCAGATAAAAAGTCTATTTTACATGGACAGGAAATTTGCGTGGCCATATAAGAGCATTAATTTGTTTCACGTGATCACACATGAAAAAAATTAGTTATTACTTTTTCTTTACATATTTATAACTACGCGTTAGTTATCTACTATAAATAGAATTCGGATTAGTTCGTTGATTACGTAAAGTGTAGGTAGTATTAAAAAGTTGTTAATTATCAGTTGACTCGTGTGAACTTCTCTTATCATTTACGATCTGTATCACAAGCAACTCTACTGCGACTAGACAAAGTTTTCATCTAACTCTGTAGTACATATATAGTTAATTTCATTCATGGCGTTTTTTAGACCGCGTTAGCGGTTTCTTATATCGATAATTCGCTAAATATATGTGCGGAATCGTTCACAGAAAACGTGACTTTACTTTTTAATAAAAACTTTCTAAAAACAAATTTACTTTCTCTATTCAGCTACAAGCTGAATGAAATTATATGATAACATTAACACTAATTAAAACCTTTATATAAAACCTTTATATAAACCGTATATATATGTACATACATATATGCATCTATTTATTTCTTTATTTATTTATGAGAATAATATTATTTAATTTACGCAATAATTTATATGTATATGTATGTATAAATTATTGCGTAAATTAAATAATATTCTCATAATTTTCTTTGAACCGTACTATATTCAAGATTTTATCGACAATGTAATCTCGAAATTGATTGTTGTTAGGGAAGGAAATGATCCAGAGGATTATTCGCGATTAACATACAGAAAGCTGCTCGAGGAAACGTGCAGGTTCGCGAACGTTCTTAAATCAAAGGGTGTAACCAAAGGAGACAGGGTTGTACTTTATATGCCGATGATTTTGGAGTTACCGATTGCCATGTTGGCCTGCACGAGAATAGGAGCGGTGCATAGCGTGGTGGTGAGTAAACTGTCAATGTGAATCAACGATCTGTCGCGTGGCAAAAAGACAAAAATAACGCGTGATCGCAGTTTGCAGGATATTCGTCAGATTCTTTGGCGGAACGTATACTCGACTCCAAAGCCAAAGTCTTGATCACCACGGACGGCGTGTGGAGAGGCGAGAAATTGTTGCTGTTGAAGAATATCTGCGACGAAGCTCTGAACAAGGTCAAGAAGCAGAACCACCAGCTTGAGAGCTGCATCGTCATCGCGCACTTGAGGAGACTTAACAATCCCCAAGGTAAATCAAACAAAGTAAACGGCACCAGCAACGGCGACGTTATAGAAATGGCCAACGTTGCTTGGGACGACGACCGGGATGTTTGGTGGCACGATGAGATGGAGGATGCAGAATCAAGCTGTTATCCGGTCTGGATGGCTGCCGAGGATCCGCTTTTTATTCTTTACACGAGGTAAAAAATCGATAACAGAAAGTGTTTTTGATATATGTATCTTTTTCGCTTCGTATTCAAATAATTTCTTTTCTGTTCCATTCTCAGCGGTTCCACCGGCAAACCAAAAGGTGTTCTTCACACCACCGCAGGATACTTGATCTACGCGGCGACAACGTTCAAATATGTTTTCGATTACCATCCAGGCGATATCTACTGGTGCACCGCTGACATCGGTTGGATCACAGGACACACTTATGTAGTTTACGGGCCGTTGGCAAACGGTGCAACGTCTGTTATAGTATGTATATATACATATATAAAATATATATTATATATATATATATATTTATATTTATATATATATATAATCGTTTTTTTACATGTAAATCGTTTTTGATAATTTTTAGTAATATTATTTGCATTGACAGTTCGAGGGAACGCCCTTTTATCCCGAGAACGATCGGTACTGGACCGTCATTGACAAGTATAAAGTTACGCAGTTTTACACGGCGCCCACGGCTATCAGGTCGCTGATGAAATTTGGTGACGAGTTCGTGAAGAGGCACTCTTTATCTACTCTCAAGGTGAATCTCATTACTGCTTTGTCTTCTCTGAGAAATAAAATCGACTTAACGTACACGGAAATATACTTATATATATTAGGTTCTTGGTTCGGTGGGCGAACCGATCAATACCGAGGCCTGGCTCTGGTTTTACAGTCTCGTCGGTCACGGCAAGTGCAGCATAGCAGATACCTTCTGGCAGACAGAAACCGGGGGTCACGTAATCACACCGTTACCAGGCGCCACACCTATGAAGCCAGGCTCAGCGGTATACAAATTTTTCATTAGACATACTTTCCTTAACTCGTAAATTTTATGTTAAATAATTATTATACACAATTTTATTTTTAATAAGTAATTCATTTGTAATATACGGAAAAAATGATTGCGCAGACGTTCCCGTTTTTCGGAGTCTTGCCTGAACTTCTCGATGAAGACGGTCATGTAATCGAAGGCGAAGGAGAAGGTTACCTTGTTTTCCGTCGACCGTGGCCCGGAATGATGCGTACACTTTATGGAAATCACCAACGTTTTCAGAATACGTATTTCGACCGATTCAACGGATTTTACTGCACAGGAGATGGTAAGAATATTATTATTTTTCTATATAATTACGTTTATAAATGATATTTTGTTTAGAGATTTCGATAATTTGATCCGACGTATTTGGCATCTTTGCCCAATTCTTCCTCGATTTGCATTAGTCGATTATATTTGGCCACCCTCTCACTCCTGCAAGGTGCTCCCGCTTTGAACTGGCCGACGGAAAGTCCGACTGCCAGATCAGCAATAAAAGACTCTTCCGTTTCGCACGGACTTCCGCCTATGATGCATCCCCAATTATGTAATCTTGCTTCCGTTGCATAATCTATTAGTTCAGTCACAGTGCCGATTTGCGATATTCTCAGCATGAGGGCATTTGCTAGTTTCATATTGAACGCATCAGTGATTTTCTCTCTGATCATCGCGGTGAGAGCGTCGCTGACTACTTGAATATCCTGATCGGCGAGTGTCAACCAGCCATCCTTGTCGTCTCGAGCGAATGGATCCTCGAGCGAGTCTATCATTGGAAATGCCTTGATATAATTCAGATACCGATTCCGCAAGGCTTCGGTTTCCAATAACTCAGCACGATCTGTCTTAAATCCTACGTTATACTTTCCTGTAAGAGTATAAACGCGTTCTCGTCAACTCCGTTGATAAGTAAAGGAATGAAAAAGATACTTCGAGTGTGTAAACAACAGAAGAAGAACCTTCTTTAAAAAACGCGGACGCTGCCAAATCGAGCGCTATCTTGATTTTGCCCTCATAACCCGCGATTCTAATGCACTCGTTTAATAGAGTCAACGCATCCGTGTTATTTTCCAATTTAGGAACAAACGCTCCTAAATCGTTAACGGGTAATTGACCATTTATTTTGTGATCTTCGATGATTTTTTTCTTCAGTACTTGGTACACATCGGTGGCCATTCTTACGGCGTCGGCAAAGCTTTCGGCGCCTAAATCGAGTATTTAGGAATGACCGTTTGTTCAATTATTTGAACAAACGGTATATGAAAATTTGAACATACACTTCGGTTCTGCACGTACCTGTGGGTAGTATCCCGAATTCCTGACAAAATAAACTGTTAGGGCCAAATCGTCCTCCACAAAGCATGGTGAAGTTCGGCACCGGTAATTGTAAATTGTAAGTTTGCGCCATTTCAGCAATATATCTGAAAAAAAAAAAACAAGATAACGACATACAATAAAAAGAGAGTTTTCTTCGGTATTCAAATAAAATTAGTGTTGTGTTAGAATGACGTAAATTAAATTAACAGAAACCTGTAAAGCGGAAGACCTTTTTTAGCGGCACCGGCTTTGCAGCAAGTCGCAGAAACGCCGAGAATGGTGTTCACACCGAATTTCGATTTGTTCGACGTTCCGTCGTTTTTTATCAACCACTCATCTATTTGTCTTTGCTGACAAATATCCAATCTTGCCTTCACAAGTTCAAGACCGATCACCTTGTTGATGATATCAACGGCTTTGAATACGGAACGACCCTGATACAAGGCCGGGTCCCCATCTCTTATCTCTTGCGCTTGATCCGGTTGTTGAACTGTTACGTTGGCAGATACTGACGATCTGCACAAACCGACATCGATAATCACGTCGACTTCTAACGTCGGCTCGCCTCTGCAATCTATTATTTGACGAGCTTTAATCTTTTGGATCCTCGACGGTTCAAGAGTCATTTTAATTTATTTTTGTAACTAATTGAATCGATCGAAGTTGAATCACGGATCTCAAAGATTTAACGATTTTGTCATCAACAGTGACTAAATATGATAATTTACTGGCGTCTTCACGCCATAAATAAGATTTCCAATAAGATTTTTGTGTAAATATAGAAGGTGTGTTGTACATAGTGCGTACAATGACGGCACAATCAATCGGAAATCTGTCCAAATTGCAGGCACAAAAAATGTAAACATCGATATATATTTATCGAGATATCGTAGCATTCCATAGTTTGATTAAAAATTACAGATAACCACTTGTGGATTGACAATAAAAATCTTTATTTATGATTTTAGGAGCAAGACGTGACAAAGATGGATATCTATGGGTAACTGGTCGTATCGATGACATGCTGAACGTTTCCGGGCATCTGATGTCAACGGCCGAGGTAGAAAGTGTGTTGGCAGAACATTCTTCGGTTACCGAAGCTGCAGTAGTCAGTAAATCGCATCCTGTGAAAGGTCAATGTCTATATTGCTTCATCACGCCGACTACAGGAAAAACGTTTGATGAAAAATTGCAGACCGAGCTGAAAAAGAAAGGTAGATTTTGTAAATAGTCGATCTATTTTTTTAACATTCTTTTTATATATTAATTAAAAAATATTCAACAGTACGCGAGAGAATCGGTCCGTTTGCGCAACCAGACGTCATCCAATACGCTCCGGCGTTACCGAAGACGAGGTCCGGCAAGATCATGAGACGTATGCTCAGAAAAATCGCGGCGGGCGACAGGAATATTGGTGACACGTCGACGCTGGGCGACGAGAGCGTCATACAGCTTCTCTTCGAGCTGAGACCGAAGAACATTTAAACAAACGACGCACTTTTCTTGCGTATTCATAACAAACAAAACCATCTTGAGGAAACTCTATATGTGTTGTTTTTAATTAGACTTGGAAAACGCGATTTCCAAGCAGTGTTCACAGTTTTAGCTTCCTTACAGTATGCTTAAGCGGTGGAAGGAATGCGCACAACAGCAGCGAGTTTATGCAGGTAGAATTTGGTGCTGTTGTGCGCATCCCTTCCACCGCTTTAGCATGCTGTAAGGAAGCTAAAACTGTGAACACTGGTCTAGTTTCCACCGAAATCCTCAACTTCGGTACAGATCAAATTTAGTGTTCCGTTTCCATTGGAAGTAGAGTACTTATAGATCAAAGCGGAAGCGAAATCAGCGCAATTTGACAGGTTTCCATCGACTTAAATTTGATTCTACGTCGCATTAGATGTGAATTAATGCTTCGGTGGAAACTAGACCACTGTTTCCAAGTCTAAGTAACTCGATAATAATCATATAAGGGATAAAAGTGACGGTTTGCATAACGAATTCTGTTGATTTACACGTGTAAACATCAGAGACGCGTATGCGTTCCGAAATTTTATTGTGTGTGTGTCTATTTATTAATTTAACAATTACGAACGTACAAGATGCATCAACGATATAGCGTTATCTTCTTCTGTAATCAAGATTCCGATATTACTGCTCGAGTTTCTCGAGAGAATAGTAATAAGGTAATGATGAAAAGTAAACTATATTGGTCGGCTCTCTAAGACAAGCGCGGCCACCGATACATATCATGCATTGCTTATAATAAGTAGCCTAAGTGTCCTTTCTGTTAAGAAAGTCCAAGTTAAGTTTGAAAGTAATTTATTTTGCAGAATATATAAGACAGCTCAGTACAAGTAAATTGTAAAATAGCACAATGAGGCAGACGAAATGCTGATTGCACAATTGCTAATAACCGCTATTTAAATAGACAAGTGTGGCCCGACTAAACGATGTTTGTTGGTAGATAATTGCGAAAAAAAAAAGACAGTTCGATTCAATTGCTTTCTGCAATTTAATGTACATATAAATAATGAGTTGAACGTCTTTGTATAAAACTATACAGGGTGTCAGTGTTTAGTTGATTTTAAGTTCTATTGTATTTTATTTTAATATTTATACTCTTTGATAAAATAAACTTTCAAAATTGAGATGTAAATGATCTCGTTTCCGCCATATTTAAAGAACGCGTGACTGACAAAAAGAAAAATTTATGAATAAAAAATTGCCTCGTGCTCCTCTTTTATAGGAGTTGCATCATATACATATCATTCCTTGTGGAACAAAAAACTTTAGATATAAATAAAACATATACATAAATATATATACATATATATTATATGTAGACAAAATCAGGAAAAATCTATAAAAGAGAGAATATGTTAGATATATTATTATATATGTATGCTTGCGCACATCCAAATTATATACATATATTAAAATATATATGTGTACACACAAGATGTTCGATAATAACCGTATAACTTTTACCGTGGTAAAGGGATTGCACTGAGTTGAAAAGTTCCTTTCTTTTGCGAGTTTCGCAATGATTACTAATTTATAAAATCTGCGAATGAATCCGCCGTGAAGAAACAACCCATATATCATTTTGCATGCTTAATCTCTAGGCGCGTGACAAAGGTTATTACCAGACATATGTGTGTTTGTTTGTTTGTGCGTGAGTATATGTTGAAAAATTCGTCAGAATTAAAGAATTGTTCTGTTAAATGTTGAAGAGTGTACTTCTTTTCCTCTTGCCTCTTCCTTTTTAAAATCTATGTATTATTCTTTCTTATTGAAACTATTTTCTGGCATATGGACACACTGCAAAGAATATCACCAAGTCGTTTTGATAATTTAAAGTTTGGTTTTACGCCAATAAATTTAATTATTATTTAGGATCGTTTTTCTTTCTCAAGTCTCGAAATCACGATTTCGAACTTCGCTCTTCTAGCTACATTACTGCGAAGCCTGTTGAAAACCGTGGGAGTCCGGTTTGACGTCAGTGTGTTGAGCGTCTGTCAGCTGAAGAGGTAGCGATATCTTGCCGAGCGTCGTCGATATGAACAAACTCACGGCGGAGCTAGTTGCCCGCGCATGTCGCTGTGAATTCTTTCTCGAAGCAAGTGTAGAAAGCACATTGCAGAGTTTGCGGAGTCATGGACATGGACAAGTGTTACGTCGAGATCCTGCGGCTCGTGAAACAGGCTGGCTCGGTAAGTCGAATGTAGTATCCTATTTCTCTTGTTCTCTGAATATAACGTGAGAGTCCGATGTGGCTTATCGATCTTTTTTGAGATACCAGGAAGGTATCCTTTCGTTTCTCTTGTGATCTTGTCTCCGCTTGATAAAAATTATATGCAAAAGCGTTTATGCTTTCACACATGAAGTGTCTTCAACAATGCCTCAATAATATCTTGACAATGAAAAATGCAACTTCATATGTAAAAACATTAACGTCCTGTATGACTACTTGTGACAAATGTTATGTTGTACATGAAAGTTTAATATACACACGTGCTGATTGTTTTCTTGTTTAATATCTCTATAAAATATCGCGACAGTCGCTCAATTGGCCGTGACATGCCATAGGGGAATGTACTCCCAAATTGAAGATGATTTTCAATGTGTAGTATGTCTCAGTGTGTATGTAAGAGAGAGGTACAAGCGTGAATAAAATGTGTAGGAAAGATGAATTACCTCTTTCATCAAGTCTTTTCTTATCTCTTTCAGTTAACAATTACACATTTGCTCAACAAGTTCTTTCTCTTAAAAATTTCTTATGCAATCGATATCCAGCTGTTTGTTTTACTCTTATCTTAAGATATAAGCTAGTTGTAGTTAAGTACTTAAAAAATCTTGATTTCTAGATCATCAAGTACAGAATTTCGCAATGCAAAGATGTGCAAACAAAATCGTGCGACATTGATTTAGTCACAGAATGGGATCAAGAAATCGAGAGAATTCTAATGGATGGAATATCGTCGAAATATCCTGACCATAAGTAAGTTTGAGTCAGTTTTTCTCTTATTGTTTGACTAATAGACTATAATTTACAATTTTTAGTATTACATGTTTGCATTTTATTTAACACGCTTGTACTTTGTGACGCATATACCTGAGAATGTTAATTCCATAAGAAATGCGTTACTTAAAGTTACAAATATTTGATATTTAAATTGCAAAACAGATTCATTGGCGAAGAGTCCACTGCTTCAGGCCAGAAGGTGCAATTAACGGACGCGCCAACATGGGTAATCGATCCGATCGACGGTACGATGAATTTTGTTCACGGTTTGCCGCACACGTGCATATCAATTGCCTTGCTAGTTAACAAAACGACGGAGATCGGAATAGTGTACAATCCGATCCTGGAGCAGCTTTTTACCGCTCGCAAAGGTCAAGGCGCATTTTACAACGGCGCTCCGATTCACGTATCCGGCGAAAAAGGCAATTTTTGCTCTTCTAATTTTAGTCTTACGACTTCGCACATTTTATTTTAGCTATTTTCAACAATTTAATGATTGCTCTAGATCTGCGTAAGGCATTGCTCATGTTAGAAATGGGAACGAGCAGGGATCCCGATAAACTACAAGTAGTCTTGCAAAATCTAACACTTCTCACATCACGCGTTCATGGGTACGTTTAACAAGCGACATTGTTGCACGTCTATGGAAACTTTCACTTTTTTTTATTTTTTTGTTCACTATATAGAATACGAACACTCGGATCATGTGCGTTGAACATGTGCATGGTGGCACTCGGTGGTGCTGATGCTTGTTTTGAATTCGGTATACACGCATGGGATATTGCAGCTGGTGATCTCATCGTTCGGGAAGCCGGCGGTGTAACGATAGATCCAGCTGGTAAATAATCATGCGTACATCACGCAATTTAATTGATGCGAGATAAAACATGAGACATTTGCAAAACTAACTTGAAACTACTGTTTTTATGTTAATAGGAGGTTCGTTCGACGTGTTGAGCAGAAGAGTATTGTGCGCGTCGTCGATGGAATTAGCTCAGGAATTTGTCAAAGTAATAATTCAGTATTATCCAGAGCGTGATTAAATAGTTCAAAAGAGTTTTACAAAAATACAAAATATAAATGTTATCTAGAAACAAATGATATAATTTAAAATCAATATGATGTTATCTTTAAAATTGTAAATTAATTAGATTATCAATTTTAGAAAAACAAATTATCTATGTATATATAGATAATCTTATATAAGACAGTTACTTATTTATTATATATATATATAAGACAAATTATATATATAAAATTTTACCAAAGTACTTCAACATTATAAAATATTTCAAGAGAAAAATGTACAAATGTACTCATTTCTTTACTTTTGATATACAACAATCAGTGTATATATAAAATATTGATACATATATATGACAAAAAATAAATTTATGAAAAACAAAATGAATTTGAGTACATAAAACCTACTGATTTTAGTGAGACTTAATGTTCTTTGTTCTCTACACACACATTCATATTGTGTATATGTATACATAAAAATATGAGTTTAATACTTATATGTATATAGAATGTACACATATATAAACAAATAAAAGTTCTATAAACATTAATGTGCAACTCTATTTCATATGCGCTGTCATTAAATTAGTTAAACTTAATACTTGATGTTTTTGTATTTCGTTTTCGTTCTTTTTTTATTGTACTTCCAGAAGTTTTGAAATAAATTCGCTTTTTGTTACAAGATGATAGATGTAGACGGTTTGCATCATTTTGAGACATTTTATTCATATTAAAAGTATTTCTACATATTTTGTAAAAATATTTACGAGAAGGGGGTAAGAACGAGAGAGGGCAGGAAGAGATAAATATAAAAAATCAGTTTGTTTGTCAAGAATAATAAATTCATTGCGTATCTGCTTTTCGTTTTCCTAGAGCGCATAGGTTTTAAATATCTGAAAACTCAAAGACGCAGATATTAGTATGTTACCAAACACTCAACACACGATTTGTTATTTTAAAAAGATCTTGATCTCGCGCTGAATAAATTTTGAAAAAAATAGAAGTACACTTGTATTATTCGTCGTCGCTTTGAGAATTTTCATAATTATGTACTTTACCTGCATACATACTTACGAGTCCTCGATTGCGATCTCATGTAACTAAGAGAAACCTTAGCACGCGGATTAAATCTAGTTAAACCATTGCATAAACCACGTTGAACTGTGTCTAGAGAGCGACAGTGCATGTATCTATATGCAGTAGACACGACGTAGGCGCAAGTATATCGCACATTTTCCTTCCTTCCTCATCAATTGTTTTCATCACCTCTTCCATTGCCTCCCCTCCGCACAGGGAGGGCTACAAGTGAAACATCACCAAATTGCCAATTAGAACAATACATACTAGTCGTAGTTTCATAGTATAACTTTTTTTTTACTTCTGTATTGAAACGTTCCCGAGAATATTTCCTCTGTTCAATTACATCTTATCAGAGATTTTTTTCATATTATATCTATACAATCGCCCTTTTTGTTGAACAAAAATACTAATCTACATGTATATATATATATATATATATACATATATATACATATATATATATGTATATCTCGTGAATTAGTATTGTCTCGATCGATTTCACGCCTTACATTTCGCATTGTCTTCACAAAAAAGTGACAAATTTTGCAAATGTTCAAATATTGTAACATACGAAATTGTTGGAACTCGCGCGCGAATCAAATTCTTATTCTATTTTGCCTCGAAAAAGATACATGTAAAACAGTTTGATCAAATAGATACCATCTTTAAGACTCGGACTACTCTTTCACGTACGACCTACGATTCTGTCATCGGACTATATTAAATATATATATAATATAGAGAAACGGTATATTTGTACTAAGTATCCCATAAGGCAATCCCCCATGAATACCTTGTAACGGGATCGGCGCTAAGGGCCCTCAAAAGGTCCGGCCGCACTTAACGATGATTTGAATCGAAGACACATCTGAAACATAAGCAGTCTCGTACAATCTCGTTACGTTCAAGATCATGCCATGAACCATTCACAACAGTATTGATATTCGGTTTCTAAGTATTCAAAACGAATAACAAGATTTGTGTTTTATATAGCTCGCTCCTAAATAATGCTATTCAATCACTGGAATGCCATACCTGCAGTAATGTGTGATTCTTTTACTTAGACTATATTATATATTACTACAATAACACACAATGTTTCAATAATTGTTCTCGCATTTAATATCGCAATTTATCTTTAATTTGCGTCGCAATATAAATATGTATATTATTATCTCTATTTTATAGCATTAGTGCAAATATATATAGATATATAGTATATATATATATATATATAGAAACGTTAAATAAATTTCTTCTCTCGCTCGCATCGCGTCTATATGCGTTTACATACTGATTATAAACACGTCAGTTCCGTCGAAAAATATATATGCACGTTATCTCTCTCGCTGTTAGAACGGAATACAGTGAACACATTTGCCTACAACCTTTACTAGACTTTTAGAAACAAAAAACAGATGAAAGTGGATACAGAACAAAGAAAGAGAGAGAAAAAAAAATATGTTCGTAAAAAGTGTTTCAATTGGATGCACTCACTCGTTATTCAAGAGTGAAGAGATTAAAATGCAGGACGTTTTTCTCATTGGTGTTAAGCATGTGTTATTTTATTTCAATTACTGACCTATTCACTATACAATTTTCTTCCGATTAAAACAGATTCACTTGTATCTCGAAGGCTTCTAATGCTTTGTGTGTGTACGTGTGTTTTTTGTATGCTCGCTAATACTGCAAAATGGATCAAATATTGTGTGATCCATAAAGAAGTTTACAGTTCTTCACAAAGATAATATCTCTATTTTGCTTTTGCGTGAAATACGTAATTACAATTTTACAAGAGCACACAATTTTTATCAATTTATAAAGGATGCTATTTATAAGGATATTGTGCTCTCCAAATCATAAAATTCAAAAAAAAAAAAAAAAAA